GTGAGAGAGAGAGTGAGAGAGAGAAGTGCGCGCCACCGACATCGTCCAACCGCGACTGGCTTGCCCCGATCTCTCGCCTCTTCTTCCTCCTTTCACGGATCTTCGCCGGTGCACACGTCTGAAGCCGACCGACTGGAGAGGGAGGTGACACTTTCGGAACGTGGACACGCGGCACGCACGGATCGTCACGCTGGATACGTGAGGATCCAGGAGAACTACGCTTGGCTACTGGTGCTCTCGTGCAGGTCGGTGATATAGTAGTGTGTTGTTTGTGTGTTGTGTATAGCCGCGCGCCGCGTCAAGTGTTCCGCGAGTCGCGCTTCTTCTTCTTCTTCTTCTTGTTTTTTTTCTTCTTTCTTTCTTTCTTTTTTTTTTTTTTTTCACTTCTCATCTTCGACTCTTCGGTTCGTGCCGTGTTTTGTTTTCTTTCTTTCTTTCTTTTTCTTTTTTTTTTTTCTTACTTCCGCGCGCTCAGCCAACGTTTTCTCTCTTCTCGCTCTTTCCCTTCTTTTTCTCGCGGCTGTGCCGCCAGACGCACGAGCAGCATATATCGGCCAGTCTCGGTGATCGTCGCGACCACGACAGCCGCAACGACGAACGTTCACAACGACGAATGCAAACAGTGAGTGTGCGTGTCTCCGGTGTGTCTGTGACCCGTCTACCATCTCTTTATTTTTGTTTTCATCGCGGTGTCGGTGCTGCGTGACGACCGATAACACCGCGATTTCTGAGATTCGAAAAACCGTGGCGGTTTAAAGGTGCGTTGAGCTTTTTTTCTTTTTTTTTTTCTTTTTCTTCTTTTTCTCTTTTTCTTCCTTTTCTTCTTCTTCTTCTTCTTCTTCTTTTTCGTTCACGGCCGCGTTTTACGGCTCGTTAAAGCTCACGGAATCGTCGCGCCTCGACGTAGTCCCCCATGAATATGGAGATGAACGGTCGCCCGTCGATCCTTCGTCTCCCTTTCTCCCGCTGCCTTCTTTCTGGCCTGTCGTCCCGTAGCAGCCGTCGTCGTCGTCGTCGTCGTCGTCGAACGATGACGTGCTCGAGTTTCTTTCGAGAGTTCGCACGCGACCGCCGCGGTTCACCCGTCGCGCGTGACAACACGCGACGCGAAATCGTGCTATCGTCCACAACCTGATCCGACCACCGACATTTATCCGTGCTGAAAAAAAGTGTCACGAGGAAAGTGTTGCCCGATCGGCCACTGACAGCACGCTGTCGCGCGTGTGTCACGCTTTCACGAGCCCGAACCGGCGGCGTGTCGAACCGTGAACGAATCCGTCACCCGATTTTCGACCAACTTCGTGATTTCTCGTCACGAATTTTTCCATTCCCCCCTCCAAAAAAAAAAAAATGATCGGATCCTTTCTGTGAAACCTTCTGTGAAACGCAATTCAGTGTTACTGAACTCGTTATATATATATATATATATATATATATTATTTTTTCAATTGAGGTTCGAATCCAACTCCGTCCGAAATTCGATCGAGCGAATTCCTTTTTGCACGATCACGATCGGCGACGTGTGAAATGAAATTCGTTGGAAAACGATTTTTCGAACGAATCTATTCCCAGAAGACAGGAGTGGAAGAATCGAATTCTCGTGATAAAAAAGGATCGATTTCGTGGGAACGATTTCTCCCATAGCGATGAAGAAGACACCGGGGAGAGAAGAAAGGGAGGAAAGAGGTAACGGTGGAAGGTGGTAGAAAAATCGGTTGGTGGAAGGCTTGGAGAAAAGTTGAAAGAAGTTGCGGTAGTGGTGGGAGGGAGGGAGGGAGGGAGAGAGAGAGAGAGAGAACGCCGGAGTCGTGGAGATAGCGGCATCCGTTTCGGTTGCGGGACGGTCGCCACACCCGCCCGTTTGGGAATTCAACTTACTGCCGCTCGGGACACCCGAAGCGTTCGACGTTTTCTCCACGGTGTGTGTAACGGTCGGTATGACGAGAGGCCGGCCGTTCGCGGTGGATTAGATCCCGACCGGCGCAGAAATCGCTGGCCCACACCGTCTCTTTCGCTTTTCCGCGCTCCGCTCCGCGTTCCACCAGACGTGCGAACCGTTTGCGAGAAGAAACGTGACGAATCGTTCGTGGATCGTTGTGCGTGGAGAGAAGGAATTGGTGATTGAAACGAGAGATCGATTTTTCGAAAGAACCATTTTCTCTCTCTCTCTCTCTCTCTCTCTCGATTTTTTTCTCGATTCGAGAAGATACAGTGCTTCGAGATTTGATAGATTGTGTTTGGACGGAAAATCGTTGAAAATCGGCGCGATCGATGTGAAGAAGATCGGAAGAAGGTGGATTTTTCAGTGGTGTGTTCTGTTGTTCAGTTTGATCGATTCGGAATTGAAATTGACAAAATTCCATCGAGGATCGAGGAATGAAGGTTCCTGGGAGAAACTAGGAGTTAGAGGTGTTTTCTCTTTCGGTTTTTCGGTAAGGTGATCTAATTATTTCATTCTTTTTTTTTTCGCTCGTCCAGTTGGATCGAAGGTTTCGTTCGTTCTCTTTTTTTTTTTTTGCGTTGTCGCTACGCGTTGAACGCGTTTAAAGTGATTAAACGCGTCGAAAGATAATACGTACTTAGTTTTACTTATTTACGTCGAACGGAATAAAGATTGAAATTTGGATCTGATCAAATTAAGGAAGATCGAGTTAAAAAGTATCGCGTAGGCAGAAAAGAAAAAAAGAGCAGAATTGCGATTAAACCGGAAGAGGAAATGTAATGATCGTATCCAAGTATATAAATTGTGAGTCAAGTGTCAAATTCGAAGACCTTGATCCATATTTAAAAGTTTTTTTTTTNTTTTTTTTTTTTTTTTTCTTTAAAATATTGCTTATTGCACGCGTATCATTTTTTAAACACGTACATAATATAAATTAACTCGATTAATAATACGCACGACACGAGATAACTCGATCGAGCTACGAGAGATCGGGATCGTAAAGAAAGAAAAAGAAATCTTGAGGAAGAAAGAATCATCGCGATATCGCGCAATTTACCTTGAGAGAAATATTTCGTCCGCATCGTTCAATTTGGACGCGAGAATCGCCCGTGAAATGAAAAAACACGAGGAGAGGGAGAGGGAGGGGGGGGAGGAGGGAGGGAGCAAAAAAGCGAAGAAACGCGGAGAATCGAGTCGCGCAAAAAAATTCCAATCGAGGCAGGAAAAATATCAAAGCGCGGCGCAACGAGTGTCTCCGTCGAGTTGTCGAGTCGAGGTCTCGAAAGTTTCCCTGACGCACGGATACGCTCGGCTATCCCGCTGCCTCTCGAATATCCCGTCCCCCACCGCTTGCCCCCCCTCCCCCTCCTCTCTCTCTCTCCCTCTCCCTCGCCCCCCACCCCTCAACGAGGAACTCGACAAAAATTCTCGAACCCTCCAACCCTCGAAGTTTTCCAGAAGCCGCACACCTCTGCCCGAACACGGATCTCTCGCCCCCTTCATAGATCAATAGTCTAGGTAAACACGTTACTCGCGGCAGACTGCATCCCGACACGGCTCGGAAACTGCCAAAAGTGCAACGTATACCGGGGACCAACAGGCAGGATTGCCCTTTTCCGCCCTTAACTTTCCGCTCCGCATCCGCTTTTGCACCCTCCACCTTCCGGACAGACCCGGCTCGTATCGTCGAAAATCGTCGAAAATGGGAATTATCACGTTAATTCGTTAATTAACGACGCGAATCAGCGAAAAATTAAGCTTCGTACAATAAACAATGGGTTGGAAGAATTTTAAGAATTCGTGACGGGGGAAACGTTTCGATATTCGGAGGATATTTTTTTTTTTTTTCATTTCTTTCTTCTTTTCGATATACGAAAAAAACACGGGATATTACACGTTTGTATCGCATAACAAGGAAATTGACACAAGAGGCGTTTACCGAGTCGAATACCGAGTCCACTGTCTTAAACCTATTATTCCATCCAAAATTGTCCAACGTATCAACGACAGGAGCGAAGAAAAAAGGCGAGCGAGAAAAAGACGCGGCAAAAAAAAATTACCCTGGAGAGAGAGAGAGACTATCGGTTCCGAAAGAGCGCAGAGAGCGGTCCGGTGGTTGGGGCACGATGGCGCGACGAATCGAGCAGAAAAGTGGGCGCCGCTGGGATATCTCTCTTTCTCCCTCTCCCTGTTTGTCTCCCTCTCTGTCCGGCTTGCGAAACCGATCGAGGAAAGGAGGGGGAGGGTCGGGTCGCGTCCTGCGCGGGAAACGGCCAGCCAAAAGCGGCGCGTTACTCGCGTGCGTGCGTGCGTGCGTACGTCGGTGCGTGCGTGCGTGCGTGCGTGCGTGTGGCTCGTGGTGCGCGCCTGTATATAGAGGCGCTTGGATGGCCGCGGGCCACGGTAGAGGTGTACGGTGGTAATACAGTGGCCATGCGAGCTTGATTACACATTGCGATCACGAGTGTTCCACGAGCGGGCGGACATAAGGCCTTTTGTCACACCATGGCCTGCGGGCAGGAAGCACGTAGCGTGACACCGGGCTGCCTCGGCTGTGCAACCGGCACCCACATTATATACGCTGCGCGTATAATACGTATATGACTGCGGGTGGGACGAAGGCGGAGGGAGGGGAGGGAAGGCCGACGAAGAGAGGTAGCCCAGCCAAGGCAGAAGAATATGTGTGAACACACGTTGGAACGAGGCGAACGGACAGAGAGAGCGAGCGAGCGTGCGTGGAGGGGGAAACGGTTCAGGGTAGAGGACGCGCCATAATACTCGGTGGTCCCATGCCGGTACGTGACTTGTGTGCCGCTTTAAGCCGCCGTGTCCCGAGAACGCGAACCCGGTTTCTTCGCCACCTAAAGGAGCGCGCGCGGCTGCTATTGCGCGCGGCGGTCGGGTTATTGTATCCGGTATCGGGCGGCAGGCCGCGCGAGTTTCGACCACGGTAATCGATTGCGCTCTCGGGGCCGGTGAGTTGTGCGGCGTGGCGGCAAATTGCCGAGAGGCTCCGTTTAGCGGGCCGCCTCGCGGAAAATCGGGACGCGTTACCTCGATAGGAGGGTGGGGAGCGGATTACGAAAGGAGACGGATTAGGAGAGGGCGTGCGAAGGACGGAGGGATCTCGAATTTGGGTGTGAATTTCAATGAATACGTCCATCTTTGAAAATTATTGATTTTAAAATTTTTAAAACTGGATTGTCATCGCTTCACTAGACAGACTCGAGATTAGAATCGGAATTTCTCGAGAATAATTTTTTTTTTACGAAGAATAATTTTTTCATCCTTCGAGATTAGAGA